TGCAGTTTGAATTATGCTTCTTCCCCCTCCGGCAGCTCTGTGGTGGCCAAATGCAGTTCTCGCTGCTGGCCATGTAAATAACCGGGGCTGCTGCTGCTGCCCGAGTTGCTTTAAATGCATCTTGGGCTTTTTCCCTTTTATAAAAAATCACCACCGCCGCCAAAAACACCGGCCCTCGTCCCCTGTCCCCCCGCGCCGGCCCAGCCCTTTAACTGCACAGAGCAAGTGTACATTTCCATCTGAAACCAGCCCAAGTGTTATTGGCAATACGTTTTCCCGGGGAGAGGGGGAGAGGGGGGGATCTGGCGTTTGGACCCAATAAAATGCTCTGCTCCAGTGTAAATATTTACAGGGTATTAGTGACTTTTTAAAAAACATTTTCAGCGAGGTCTGTTATTTACAATGTGTCATAAGTTATTAATGTTCATTGCCTAAGTACCCTGCTAAATCTGTCTCATGCCTTAGAACAAAGTCGACAATTGGCATATTGTTTAAAGTATGAAAAAAATGCGAGTGGGTTTAAAAATTGGAAATATGTGTATTTTCAGAAGTGTAAATATTGCTTTGTAGCTGTCAAACTGCAGCCCTCGGGGACAAGACAAAGAAGTGGATTTTGGTTAATTTCTCAGTGGAATGGAGTTGTCACCGATTCGAGTGTCCTTTGGAACTTGGGGAATGGCAAGAGAGAGTCCTGCTTGTTGTATTAACTCTGCCTCTTTTCTTCTCCTTCCCCAAAAAAGTTCCCCACGATGTCCAGTGATAGGCAGAGGTCAGACGATGAAAGTCCAAGTACCAGCAGTGGTAGTTCAGATGCCGATCAGAGGGATCCACCTGCACCTGAACCCGAAGAGCAAGAAGAGCGAAAACCCTCTGCCACCCAGCAGAAGAAGAACACCAAACTGTCCAGCAAAACTACTGCTAAGCTATCCACTAGTGCTAAAAGGTAAAGGGGACACTGAAACATTCTGTAGTGTTTTTGCACAGAATTTTGAGTCATGGTACTTGCATTGCACTTTTCAAGGATGAGGGGTTCTTCCAGTAAAGCGATGTGGAAAAGAGTGAAGTACCAACTTTTGTAGTGCAGGAGCCTGCCAGGCAGTATCTTCATTAATCCAAGTCTTATGGGGGTAATAATTACACAGACTTGTCATACGTCTTTTGAAGAGTTGTTTGAGAAGTTTGGTGACTTCCAGGCTGGCGGGGGGCAGGGGGGGCACCTCAATATGTTTCATATTTGCAAAAACATGCCGGAGAGTGTCAGCTTTGGCTGTCTTTTTCCGCGTTAGTGTTCCATGCCTGATTGGTATAGAGTGAGTGTATTTTATTACGGTCTGTAGACTGATGACAAGCGATGCTCTTTAATTAAAGAAGTCACAAAACCCCAGTGGCTTCTGTGGGCCTTATGACTAGCCATGTGCCAGAGAGCCTTACATACCTTGAAGTAATGGGTTCGTTCTGAAGTTCTTTCAGGAGAAACTTGGGTGAGTCTGCAGATTCAAACCATGGGGTTCTACAGGTAGCCTCCACCTTTAAATATCAAAATCTTCAGAAACCTTGTTTAGTTATATCTGTTGCATTTTTATTTGCGTATAAGGTTAATGGCAGTCCAGCTCTCAAGACATGCACTCTGATAATTTTCTGTTAAGTTCAGCAGTGTGAAATAAGCAAACTTTAAATTCCTTGATTCCAGCGGTCTTCGGAGATGAAGCATAACTTCCCAGTCCTTTCCCTGGGGTTGCTTTTCTTTACAAACATTTACAGATAACCTGTAGCCAGAAAAGCTGTAGAGTAGCCGTAGTAGCTTCAACTTTTCTTTATTCAACGTGAATGCTGTAGTTCTAACTTTTAGCAACACTTTGTAATTTTGTATTGGACTTCAAAAAGTATTTGCTGAACTTAAATGTCTTAAAATTGCTGCAGAGTATGACTGGGTGGCTTTGATGACTTCTGAGCTTGTTAAAGCAAGCCTTTGAAACAGGACTGGCTAAGGAAAGAAAAGTTCTGGGAACTACTGTGTAGGCTTTGTAATTTGTTACTACTTACCTTTTTTGAAAAGCCTGAGACACAGGCTTTGGAGGCTGAGTTTTCCCCTGTTGCCTTTATTTCACTTAATTGTTGCAAGTCAAATTCTGTATACCTCAAATAGTTGAGTAGTCTGGTTGAACTTATTGGTACTAGTGCAAGAGTGTGCAGGGCAGTTTCTGTTAGCTTGTATTTTAACACTTGCTAGTCACGTGAAATTCATGGTCTTGCTCTTACGGGTCCTTTCTGAAGGGAAGTCTTACTTGATATTTTTAAGGTGAATTTACAATGCGTCTTTTGAAATTACACCTCTTATGTACCTGAATAAACTATTAAATTGACAAAAAGTTTTCGGTATTCCTCTTCTGGATCTTAGCACCTAGGGAATGGTTGTAATAAGAGTAAAGCAAAACACGGATTATTTCAAGTTATGATATCACTTTTTATAATGTAAATACAGCTACTGTATAAGGCTGGGGGAGGAAAGGCAGCAGAAGGTGTGGAGAGAAGCAAAGTTGATCCAGAGAGATTATTCCAGTAACAGAGACAGCCTGGCAGTTCTGCAAATCCACTTTTTAGACGCAGTGCAAAGTAGTAGGTAAAATATTGTGAAAAGTGTGCCTGCTGCCAGCGCGGTTCACTTCTTCAGCCTCAGTCACAGGTCGGTAGTGCTGGTTTAAAGTCATTGTCAAACCTGCCCGTGCAGCCCCCCCCCCTTGCCTCATTTGCATATTAGCTTGAAAAGAAAATCTCTCTGGTAAAAAGTGCTCGGATGTGAAAAAGAGTTACTTTTCTGAATACTTGTGGGAAAATTCTACCCAACTCCGTTGCAAGCGTTCTGTTTACGTACAGCGTGGGGCAGGAAATTAGCCGCAAAGTTTCTCAGCTGTGGGATTTGGGTTATGCCTCTGAGAACAAAGAGGAAGCAGCCATGTTAGCATTACTGAAGGCAAAGCCAATCTTGCATTTAACTGCATGGTGGTAGAGGGCAGTGTAATTCCCTGATTTATTCTATAGACTATCTCAAATGCTTTGTGTCTGTTCTCATTTCACCAACAGAATCCAGAAGGAGCTAGCTGAAATAACCCTTGATCCTCCTCCTAACTGCAGGTATGTAACGGCTTCTTAAGTTGTGGACGGTGGTGGAGATTAATGTGCTCAGGCTAACAAATGGGAAACTTAGTGTTTACGACTTGGTGACTGTTAGACAAAAATTGCGTACAGCAGATTGAACAAGCATAGGGAACGTTTGATATTGAAGTTTGCTATTTTGTCTGCATGTTGGAGGCGTAGTCATTGGTGATTGATGTACATAGTGAATTGTATTCCGTTTGTTTTTCGTAGCTGGTCACTGCCTTCGTGAAACATTAATGATACGAACTTCAGAATACGCTGAAGCTTTCAAATTCGTGTCTGCATGTAGTTTGAACTGGCTTTTTGAGTGCCAGGTTTATAGAGTTATCACTTCATTCTGAAGTAAAGGTAAAGAACCATATGTGATTTTTATATGCTTTCTCTCAGTGTGTTGCTTAGCAGTTAGATAAGCTGAAGTATTGCCTTTATATTTATCTGTTTGTTCGTGAAAGTTGTAGTCTCTTGATAGAAAATATTTTTAAGGAAGTTCCCAACTTGGGAGACACTTCTGTTAGGTTTTAGAAAATGAAATTGTAAGCTTGGAAGATTGAGTGATTTAGTACTAGGTAAAGTGACGGTAACTTGATCTGTAGGAAAGTTAAATAGTAGCATAGCTAGCTAATTTCTTTAAATCTTTTGCATGTTTTACTTTTGTTTAAAGGATGCATAAAAATTCTCATTAGCTGTGAGCATCCAGTGTTCAGATTTGCAGTAAAGCTACATTTAAATAACGTTGCTTTCGTTTGATGCACCTCAGTAAGATTTCTGACTGCGAGATATTTTCAGATGAATAGCTTATGTGCAACAGCGAACCTTGCACACATACAAAAGTTTAAAAAAGCTGGAAGTGCTTTCTGATTTTACGTTGGAATTGCTTGGCTTTTTGAACAGTTGGAAAGGTTTGGTGCAGGTCTTGTGAATTCAGTGAAATGTGAGTTGTTCTCTTATCTGACTAGTCTGTGAGAGCAGGAACTAACCCGAGCGAGCTGTGTTTTATTGAATTTGTGGTAAAGGTGTCTTACCCTGAGGACTGTGTTGTCGGTTGCCTGTGGCAGTCTGGTTTGTTTGCATGCAGGGTCGTGGCTCTCCCTCCTCAACAGAGGCAAGCTCTGTTGAGAGAGCAAATGTCTGTTGGGTTTGGGGGTTATTTTGGGGGTGGGTGGTGTTTTTGTTTTGGTTTTAAATAACTGTTTTAAATAACTTTTAATGAATTATGGGGACCTAGTTCTGTGTTGGTCATGCACTTTACACTTGGACCCTCAAGGAGGGCATGGTAGGAGAGAAAGTAGTTAAATGAAATAGAACACCAGCACTTTGCCTTATAGTTGCTAAATAGATAGTTGTAGCAGTTTCGGGTACAGCAAGTTACAGCTTGGCTTTTAGAAAGAGAAGCCTCCCCCCTCGCACTCTCCAATACCATCTGATACTTAGCTCCTTGGGAAAGCTTGTTCCTCTCCTATCAGCACAGGAGTATTGCAGGGAGTTTTTCTTCTGAGCTGGTACTACCAGGTGCCCAGGAATGCTGTTGAGAATGATGAAAACCCCTCAATGTGTCTAAAATTATTCAAGTTCTCTCCTACAGAGTGTAGGGGAAAAGATTATTTTTTTGCCAGTGAGGTAGTCAGTGCTTCTGTTCCCGTAAGTATTTTTTAAGAGGAATTTAATCCTTTTACTCAATAGCAACTGTGTGACTGCATTTTTACCTTTTGAAAAATAAAAAATATTTACAGGAGATACTGGCTTCTGTAACAGAAATTCTGGGTTTTCAGGTTGAACAGTTTGAGCAGAGTTTCAGTGCCTGAAGGATTACCCTTACGTTGGAATTGACTTGTTAGAAGGAGCCTTTCTGGTATCAGGAGGTAAATGCAGCTGTGTGTTATGTGCAGAGCAGTTGAAGCTTGTAACATGCTTTCTTGTGGGGTGTAGTAGCATAGATGAGGCAACAGACTGACACAGCAGGCTTATGACACCTCTTCATTGTTTGTCATGCAACAAGGAGCAGAATGCTACTTACTACATTCTTTGTAAAAGAAAAAGAAATTGTAAAAAAATAAATAAAAGCCTGTATAACTTGGGCGTATTCGCATGTGCTTTAGAAATAAGAAAACTTGTGTCCTAAAGGTCCCTTCCAACGCAAACTATTTTATGATTCTATTCTATGATTTCTTCATGCAAAGTTGTTTTTCCTCCAGTGCTAGAGCACAGCCTTATCATTTGCAGTCCACATGTTGCAGGCTTCACAAGAGTACAACTGCCAGCCGATGCTCCTGGACGTTGATAGTCCTTCTGGTTACTCAGTTACATAAGTGATTAAAAATTAGCGATTTTTTAAAAGGATAATGCCTCATATAAAGCATTAAATGTTACTTTAGCAGGATACAGTGCGAATACTGCAGAGTATGTTGAACTCTCCTCTTTGGTGTTAAACACTGACGGCGGGCGCAACTGCACGTGGAGTTGCTCCATTGGAGCGATCTGAGGCTGATTTAGCTACTTTAAAATGACAGCGCCTGGTTGCACTGTGATTCTCATGCAAAAGAGGTGTAGGTTTCCCCAGCGGTTAAGTTTCCCACAGTCACATCTAGTGCTATAACATCTGTTTTATAAAAATGCCAGAGCCCCAAGAGAGCCCCGTTTCAGGGTGTGCTGAGCAGGCCTGGGCTGCACAATAACTTCTATTTTAGGCACTGGGATAGCAGAATGACAGGCACAGTAAAAATGTCTAAATAGCAGTTTTTTGCTTGCTTGTCTCAACAGTAGAGATTGATTTCTGATTCTGTTAATTGGACAATGAACTGTTAGAAAAATCGTGTTGTCATGTTTGTGGGCAGTGAATACAAACTGCATCTTGGGGGTACCAAGTCTAAAACTTAGTATCTTTGTGCCGATAGCTTTACTCTTTAACATACAGTAGTACTCTCAATTCCTGTGATTTCCAAGAAAGATAGAACATCAAAAACAATAAAATTAGATTTGGTCTTAAGCCACTAAAGATGTTGGGAGGGAAGTGAAGTACTGCTTCCTCCTCATGTTTTCTCCTGTCCAACAGAAAAGCCTGAAATGAGTCAGTTACTGTCCAACATGCACCGTAGCACTAGGACAGGTAGGTAAACTGAGGGCACAGGTATCTGATCCTGGTTTTTTCTTGCTTTTGCTGGCTTAACTCAAAGCTGTGCTACTTGGTGCCATGTGCTGTATTTAATTTCTTTTGTGCTTTTAATAGCGTAAAGCAAAGCTAAAAAGGTCTTGGCCCTCTTGCTCCTAGGCAGCTCAATTTCAAACCACGGCCAAGCGCTTATACATACTTCAAGGTATGGAAGTGTGCCAAGCCTCACCGTTGCACATTCTCAGGAAAATGCTGCAAAGATCTTGCATGTAATGCATGGTAAATCTGGGCTGCAGAGATGCATTTAAATAGGTTTGACATATGTGGAATAGCTATTTTCAGTTCATGGCATAAAACTGTGTGGATCAGAGGTCACTGCTCTGCAGTTAAGGGTATATCTGAGGGTGCTTTTCTCACCTGCCCAACTTGGAGGCTGCAGCTCAGGTGGAGCAGGGCACAGCCGGCTCTGATGCTCATTGTACTTCTTGGATTTTAGGGTTGGCACAAGTGAGGCTGTTCCCAGGGGTACCGTGATTTATAACAGCTTCCTTTAGCTGTTGCTGGCTGCCCTGCTGATCCACAATAGCAAAAATATGTACTCCCTGTCTTCTTTCCTCATTCCTCCTCATCTCCATTCCAAAATTAATCTTTGTTCATCTTCATGAGAAAGTTTTTGAAGTTTGAGCGGGTATTAAGTAAATTTCTAATGCCTGTGCCAGCTTAGTTTATAGTTTACAACCCATTTTACAACCAATCCAGTTTGGTATAAACTTTGTAGGAAATGAAAGCAAACACCAAAATCAGTATATCCACTCAGAGCTTAATTTGTATGGTTTAAAAAGAGGCCAGTTAAAATAGTGCACCTTTCCCATGCAAGTGGGAGAATTTAAGCATGTTATAGTCTGTTCTGTCAGTTGGCTTTAATCTCTTCTCTTTGTTAAATTAAAGATCAGACATCTGAAAGCAAGCACTTCAGAAAAAAAAAAAAAAAAAAAAGAAGAAGAAGAAAGGCCAGGCAAAGCGTGTGCCTTAGAGCACTGGTCAGAGAGACAACTTTCCTGCTTCATAGCTGCTGGGAAATGGGAATTCTTACCAAGGGAGAGCTGCTTAGATCGTCCCAAAGGCTCCCTGCTCTGTCTCATCCTCTAGCTAGTGAGTGCCTGATCTGATAGGTCTGTTGGAAAGATTTTCCTTAATAGGGATTACTATAGCTGTTACTATTTATTTTCAGGCCTTGTATGCTAATATATACTAATGTGATTTCTTGAGCCATACTACAAAAGGTAGCAGTTGACGATTTTGCTGTTTGTAGCCTCTCCTAGGGTTGCAAATAGGTTGATAATTTATGAATAGTTCATTTTAAAATTACTTATTTTAAAATAACACTCCAAAGTGCGGGTACTGAGCACAATGGGAGCAAGACATGTAGGGGTTTTCTTTTAACACAGGATTCTTCTGCTTCTTAAGGACTGCATTTGTCCCTTTCGTTACTGCCACATCTTGGGCTAATTCTGTGCTGCAGAGCTTTGCCAACCCAACCCCACGGTCTGGAGTTTGACACAAAGAAAAATGCCTGCAAAACCCTGGCAGATGAATGCTGTTACTGGTTTAGTTACGGAACCCATGAATCCAGATGTTTGTAACTGCCTCACTGTGGTTCTTACCCCATCAGTGGGGAAGCATTGCAGTATGTATGTAAAGCAATATTGTGAAGGCTTTCTTCAGACCAGCTATCGAAGCTCGTTCAGCCGAGCTGTCTGGAACAATGAGGAGCAATGAACCCTTGTGCTGGTGATGCAGGCTCTTCCATGTACAGAGGTGGCACTGGATTTGAGCTGAGGCAGCCTTGTGTTGGCGAGGAAGGTGCCGC